CCCCCCCCCCCCCCCCCCCCCCCAGCCCCAACCGTCTCCTAAAAAACCACCAGGAAATCTCTAAAACAAAACTTAACAAATAAGGGTCCACAGTTCCTGCATCAAGTTTAACAAAGGAAATCATTACTTGAAACGATTTTGCTTCTGTTTTGTCCTTACTTTTATGATCATTTCAGGAGACATTTTAAACAATCAAGAAAGATTGTTTTTTACATTTCAAAACACCTCTATTAGTACCTCAAAAATACTCCACTGTGCATTAAATATTTACCTCTCTTCCCAATGTTTGGAAATGTGGTAAATTACTATCTCAAGTTTGATTTATTACTTGACAAATGTGACAAAAATACTAAATTGACAGGTCTATTATAAATTATCAAATTATCCTAACAGTGTTCTATTTACTATCACATACTCTGCAGTCCCTGATTCTGAATTAAGATCCATTCCACCATCTATAAGCGCTCCAGATTCAGAATATGTAGGCTTTGCCATTGATTCCATAAACTTGTATAATCCACTATAAAGTGCTGTGACAATTAGCAACAGGACCTGGCAAAGATGTTGGACAAGATTATTTTTAACTATATCATTTTCACAGCTGGAACTAATAAAATTAATTAAATATCAAGTCCATTCCATTGTCACATAAATGATATTAATAAGTTCAAGCACAAATGAAGTGAGTTAAACAAATAAATTATTCTCAGGTACGAACTTACCCATGAAAACCAACTTGAATTGAAATTGAAAAAAGTGAATCTGAAGATAATGTATGTCACCTGAAGTGAGGATAAATTACATCAATCAATCAATGTATTTTAATTGATCATTGCAAAAAAAAGATAACAAAGTTGGCATAACAAACATGTTGTTAAATCATTGCATCCTTGATTAAGTTGACCTCTTTTTAACAATATAAAAACTTGATGAAAAGATGCTCATGATAGGCAAGGTAGAATCTGCTTGCAGAAGCAGAGGGAAAGGTAATATTAAAGTTTACAGTGGCCAGAAAGCAGTCACACACTGCGGAACATTATGCTGGCCTCTATGACTTGAAGCCTGTCCGTAAAAGGTTACCTCCAGCACCAAGGGGGCGGGGGATACTCCCTAAAATGGACTCTATAATGGAGAGGCTCGGGGATACCTTTTTCAGGCTGAGGTATGTAAAAAGGTAAGGATTTCACAAGCTTCTTTCACGAAGAGTATGCAAAAGAGGGCAAATTGAATTTACCTCTAATCAAATTCTCCTAACTTGCCCTATAAATTTAGACATTGATAACAGTTCTGCCAACATTTTATTTACTGTCTTACCTCAATACTTATCATGACCTTGGCATAAAAATCCAGAGTTTTGTTGTTTTCTTCAAGAATTTGTTTTTGCCCCTTGGTTGCTTGTTTTTTAGGCTACAAGGCAAGGTGTGAAGTCAATAATTTTGTAATACTTAATATTATTCAGATCATTAAACAATACATGTAGGTACCCTCTAGAGTAATGCCCCTTCTCTTGGCTCAGAAATAAATGCCTTGAGTTCTGAAGAGGCTCTTTACATTACTTTGAATTTCATCACAACAAGATATGTTACTGTGTACACTTGATTTTACCTGGGGTTATCAATGACTTTGTTCTCAGGAAAACACAAAAATTTTTCAAATCTGGGTCACAAAAGATTTCAGCTTGCAAAATTCAGACAAATCACTTTTCAGATACAGTGGAGTCCAAATTTCTCAAACACTCGATTTTCTGAACCTTCAGCTTCAGATAACTTGAACCAAATGTCATTTCCCTCCCCTCAGCCAAATACTGTCATTTTACACCGGATTTCTCTTACTACCCGATTTTTCAAACCAGTTTTTGTTTGCCTTGGAGGTCCTCTGTATATCTAAACTTGATCCAAGTTAGAAAAAGGACACTACCAATGATATTCTCTGAAAAAAAATTCTCAAGAATCTGATACAGAAAAAGTTGGTAAGTATAGTATTGACCCTGGGGCCTGTAGCTGGATCTAAATTACAGCTGCTGTTTTGTCTTTTGAAGCTGTTGTTTTGTTGTTAAATATAAAAGAGCAAATAAACAGTTTATGTGAAAATGCCCAGGGTGGATTCCCATATAAAAAGGACGGGGTATGCTCGTCGGAAAACCTCTAAGAGGTGCCAAGATCCTGCTTTCTAGGAGTGTCTTGAAATGTTTTCATCCCTGAGAGGTACTAATTGTAAAACAACACATTATCTCCTGCCATGCTTTTTTAAGCTCAGTGCCCTGAATGGTGATGCAAAAGCTCCCGCTGTGGACCTCTTGGGGCTGAACACCCTATGAGGTACCAAAACTGCTTTTCTAATCCCTGAAAGGTACAACAAGCACCCCTGTGCTTTCTATACAGGAGTTACCCCTGGGGAAAAGCAGTCATCTTCATAACTTTTTCAGGGTCAACAACTAGTTTCTCCAAACAAAATCAAAACAAACACTTCAAGACAGGCAATAAGAATGACAAGGATAAGTATTTTATCAACTTATGACGTATCACCAAATTCTCATACTCATAAACATATTGAAAAGAACCCTATGGACCAGGGTACATTCAGGGTAGGTTATGCCGAAGATCTTGGGTGTGGCCTTTAAATTTAATGCTGTGTACCGGCGTGCGATCAGAGTTTCTAACATATAGCAACGTGCACATAATATTTGCTGATGCTTGCTTATAAACGCTTAACTACCCAAGGCAACTTGGCATGATAACTATGGCTTCTTAACTTATCTTTATCCCCCACATCCTGGCTGATAACAGGCATTGTATAGGATCCATTTGAGCCAAATGTTCCCAGCCGCATTGGGATGGCATATTAAAATAGCATTTTTGACATGGGACTTTGGCCGCTTGCCAGGTGCGTGGCACAGAATTTAAACTTCCTTGGCGTATCTTCACCATGGAGGGTTTGCAGAATACACCCTGGCTCATAGCCACAAACATATTTAAAAGAAATGTATGGAACAAGGAGAAATATAAATTTAAATATTTCAAGCTATGGATTGGATGGGTTTAACTGAGGAGAAACATTCGTTTGATCAGCAAATACTCAGTTTCAGAAAAGAGCTTATTAAATGCAATCCACCATTCAGCCAAAAGTTACCTATATATCTAACCTGGTAAGGGAGTTGCAGGTGTATTTATAAGTATTGTATTCGAAAAGTTGACCCCCTAACGCCAGATTCTTTAAAAGAGCATTGGACGTTATAAATGGTGATAAAACAAGTCGATCACAAAGCATAAACAAAAACAACCAAAAGAACACGTAAGCTTAATAAAAAGAGGAAAAAAAGCCTCGATTAAGCTTGAAGACAAACGGACAGGATATCTGGCAAAAAATGAATTTCCAGAATTAAATTGTTCCTAAGTCTTGAATTGTTTCAAAAATAACTGGTAAAGATCATAAATACGGGCAAAATATTCCACGAAAAATGTCAAAAATTACGAAGGGACGTAGAAAGACTAAACTTACCGCCATCTTGAATCCAGCTAGTGCCAAGCCCCTCTCACCTGGAAGAGTGAGAGCGTCTTCCCCTGGTGTGTGGGGAAAAGGAAATTATTCGCTTACGGACGGACCATTAAAAAAGTGATGGGAGGGAAATAAAAAAAAATTCATGCAAGGGAGGGTAACTGAAAGAAAAAATCGTGCAAAGAAGAAGTGGAGAAAAAAAATCCTGCAGAGTGAATTGTACTATCGGGCTTACAAACTGTACCCACCTGAAATTGCAACTTGGCAGCCACCTTTATACTGCAGTTTTAATTTCTTGATATTATCATTCAAGCCCAATCGATATATTAAATTTATCAGCTGAAACTCTTGGAAAACACACCAAAAATGCTTCAATTTTGCAAACTTTTCTGGGGGGGAGTGGCATGCCCCCATCCCTAGTTGAATACTCCTTTGGCCCCATACTTGCTACCAGACAGTCACTCACAGAACCCTAGCTTAAACATTGATCCACTGCATGCCAAGAATGAATTTTATTACAAGGGTAATGAATCAATAAAATTGATATTTCCCTGTAAACATCAAACTAAAAAAGCAATGCAACCCCATTTTAGACATTATAGCACTTGAATGTGTCTGATACTTGGTTATGTTTCCCCCGAGTTTAATTTTGACTGGAAAGCAAGATGACTGTGTGAATGAAAAAAAGAATTTTTTTTTTGAACTTGGGGCCTGTTCCATGCAGGCATTCAGATTGTGGTGATCGAGAGACTGAGAGTCAAGATTAAGATTGCCGCAGTAGAGTATTTCCCCCTCCAATTCCCCCTGTCCCCCTCACCAAAAAAAAAAATTCCACAGGAGACTTTGCCCCCAAAAAAAATCCTGCAAAGGTAGTGGACATGAAAAAACTTCCTGCAAGCTGAAAAAGTCTGATCCCCCACCCTCATCACTTTTCTAATGGTCCGTCCCTTTAGTAAGTAGACTGAGATTTTTCTTTTTCTGATGGGGACTGGATAATGCAAAGCATTCCTGATGCCAGGGCAAATGCATCAAATTATACCAGAAACATGAGGTGATAAGTTTCTAATGAAACAAAATCTGTTTGGTAGCATGTGTCAATCCAGAAAGTTAATCTACACCCTCCAGGAAGGCTTTGGGATTTCAATGCCCCACCCCACCCCACTGGAAATTCTATTCAAGCTATGCCAGCTATATAAATTTGAAACCTTAACCCACTCTGAAATGTAGGCGATGCTCGATTTAAGCAATAGAACACCTTTTCCATGTTTGCATTAAGGCCTCATCTTAAATTCAAGACAGCTATGCAAACCCAAGGCGTAGTCAGGGCCAAGGAGAACTCAAGGCATACTGGTTTTACTTACTTACGTGGATACAGGCCACCTTTCACCAAGAGAACATGAGGGGTAAGATGCCATACCATATAGGTCCTATTTACCAAGGGCATCTCTCCCTAGTTATTTTTAGACATCAGGTACCCAGTCCATTTGGTCACAGTTATTTGAGAATATTTATCCCGAAAAATTGTTCAATACATTCACCTGTAGTCCAGCTGTTTCCCAAGAACTAAAAACTATGACCATAACTTAATGATAATGAGTTCCGTCATATATTTATTAGTTTCTACAGAATGCCCATGGAGACAAAGTTCTCTATGCAACTTTATTTAAGCTTGAAAGTATTGAGATCTACGCACTTGAATTTTTAATGACTACTTTTCCTATAAATTATGCAAAACATATTCTGAAACTCATTAATAATTCATTAAGTTTAAACAAAGGAAGTCATGACCTTGACAGTGTTTTGATATCTGATCTTAATTAGCATAGATTTTTATGATTTTAGTTCTCCATTTTCTCCTTAGTTTTAGTTTCGATTTAGAGAGTGTTTGACCACATTTCCAAACACCTTGAAGTTCGTCAAAAATACTCTGCTATGCATCGTATTTTCAACTCTCTTCTCATTTGGAAACATTGTCAAACACTGTCTTTCGTGTTATATATATTATATACAATCGCAATTTGAGAAGATTTTTATTGTTTCAAACATAGACTGTTCACAGCCTCTCGACTATTTTTCAGTACAGGTAGAAGAAAAAGCAAGCTAAGTGAGTGTGAAGCACGCAGGTTGGGGGCGGGGAGGCAAGCAAGGATAGCCAAATGAAACAAATTTCTCAGTCCCCACTTCCTACCCCGTCAAGTCTCTTGTTTTGCGCTGGTGTCCAAGTCTCTCCTGATTCTATCCATGTGTTCAACCATCTAATATTGATACGAGAAAATGGAGTGCTGTGAACACTATTTCAAACATGGAGTGGCCACAATTAGAATTAAATACACTCGTTTGTGTACATGCACCTTGTTTAGAGAAAGAATATGTATTGACTTGCTATAAACATATACATATTGTCTTAGCTACCTTTATCGCACCAAGTTCTAATGTTCATGCTTCACCTCAATAAAAATCAGCCTTGGCATGCCCCTGATTGAAGAGAGGTCGATGAGAAAACAGAAAAGGGTAAACCAGAAATGATTCAAACCAGTGGTTTGCTGAGAAACTTGCGATTTTTGAATTAACTTTTTCAGCTCAGCATATACATTGTCATCACCATCATTCTCATGAAAACTCAGTTTGTTTCATCTAAGCAATATGTCATGTCAGCTCATATAATTATGTACTGTGTGGTTCCAGAAAATATCCATACATGTACCTCCACCAAAGATGGCTATTTGGTTTGTATCCCTCCTCCCACCCGGAATTTCCAGTTTTTCCCTTTCAAAATTTGGCTATTATATTAAGACACCTCCTAACCCCTTGGATTTTCCCATAACCATCGTTAGTGTGGGTGTGGATAATTTCCGGACCTGCACATTATTTTTGAATATTTTATAGCTTTATGGGTATGCCTTACACTTCACTTTCACACCAACATATTGCAAGATATCCCCCCAACCACCTTCCCATATCACAGGGTAAAGCAGACTTCAAGATATACATTTTTGCTCCAGGTGTCTTAGCCTGTGAACACAGAGGTATTTCCAGATGTCACTTATTTTTCGGCGGAGAAGAGTGACAGCTGGAAATGGGTCTGCATTTGCAGGCTATAGGTATCATCTGAATAAATGTCTGCTGGCACAGGTTGCAGCTATTGTAGCAAAATACTTCACTTGTGTATTGAGTTAAAAAAATTTGGGGTGGGGGTGTGTGGCACGCTTCCCAAAAACCCTTATCCTATTTATGACCAAAATCTGTGACATTCCCTACCCTATTTACGACCCGATCAATTTATGACCCAACCCTAAAATCAAAACTCTGTTTCAGACCTGCATTATAATTAGTTCCCTAGCTTAGACCAACGTTAAAACATCATTTGTGAAGGGCTTTTGTTGATTTTCTTTTCGATAATGATGAAAAAGTGGCTTCTTAAAAACATACCCATATCAAGGCTACAGTGCAAAAACCATACCCCATTTACAACCAAAATGGCCAAAATCAGCTAAAATCGATACCCTATTTATGACCAAAACGGCTGAAAAACCATACCCTTTGGGGTCGCACATACCTATATAGTCTATATACGGGAGCACCCCTGGGAAACTTACCAACAGAAGCAACAAGAACTGAAAAATCTTGAACAGCACATAAAATGAATTACAATTCACAGTGTCAGCTAGGAGACCCTCACTATAAAAAAATACTATTAAAATACTATTACTGCCAAATTCCAACAATGTTCTTGGAAAGAGCAATGAGAAATAGTTGGACATAATAACAAAATTAATGACCTGAAATTTTATTAAAGTCTACTTAGTTATTCAAATTCTCTCTAGTGAATACATTGTTTTGGCCAACAAGGATGTTACATGTACAAATTTTAGAACTTTAGACATAATCATGTACACCACCATTCTACAAACTGTTTGTATCGGATAATTGTAAAATTAAAGTAAGGCTATATGATCATGTGTACTAAAGACATGCTCAGTCGAGTGTCGATCGATACCCTCAATCGACCCATGATTGACATCCGAATGACATCTCAAAGAAAACTCGATTGACATCCTGATCGATACTTGGTCAACACCCAATTGACACCTTCAGTGATTAACACTTGATTGACACTAGATCAACAGTCAGTCGTTAGTCGGCCGAGTGTCGATCGGCTCATGCATTGATCGAAAATTAGTAGACTGTTGACTGAGATGTCGATCCAGTGTTGATCGAGAGTCCCCGAGGTGTTGACAAAAAGTCGACCGAGTATCAATCCAGTATTGATCAAGGGTCAACCAAGGGCATCAACTGAGGGACACTCAACCATGGATGCCTGTAGTACACATGATCCAGGCTGTACATTGTAAATGTAAGGGTTACCACAACTCGGAAAGGAGTTGATACATGTCAGACTAAGTGTAATTCTGATACAGTGGATACCATGGATATCCCTAGTGTCCACTGAAAAATTCAATCCCTCCTGTAAAGGAGAGTTATCAGGGTGAAAAGAAAAATAATTTTCCGGCTTGCTCTAACAGCAAGCTGTAACTATGATGTAATAGCCTGAAATTCATTCTCACTAGCGCCCCAAATGTTGATCTCTTACAATAGTTCTACAGGTTCCATATTTACTCAAATAAGCACCATCCCCAATTAAGCACCACCCTCAAATAACCACCACATTTGGGATATAAAAGTTAATAAGCACCGCCCCAGAGCACGCACTGCAGCCCGGTCTACAGTGGAGTCTAACACGGCATTGGAAATTTATTTTCACCAATGATCAAGTTGACTCAATGGTAAAGTTGACTGAAGACACAGTGCGCAAAGGGACAGATGGTGAAAATAAAAAGATGCTTCTGTTCATTACTGTTATATTTTCTCACATCACAGATTAAAAATGTACCTTTGAATTAAAAGAAAAAACTTCTTTGTCATGTTCACTTTTTAAATAAACACTGCCCTCACATACCGGTAAGTGCCTCCCTTGAATAAGTGCTGCATTTGAGGTGTGAAAAATAAGTGCCGTGGTGCTTACTCAAGTAAATACAGTAATTTGAATTTCCTCAAAACATTTTTCCAAGAACTTCACTTGTCTAAAAGAATCAACTAGCGCGACTACAAAATCCACCAACCCCAGGCTATTAGACACAACTTTCTTTGCACCCTGCTTATGAATTACAGCTCTAGTAGGATCCATCTCTAACATCATGCTTCAAATATGCATGCCTAAAGTTAATAAAACATTACAAAGCTCTCTTTTTTTATTAACGTTACTAAATGAGGCTTAGAGTAATATCTACTGATAGTTACCACATGCAAGACTCTAATTAAAAACCATATGTTTGATTCTGTAATGCTACATTGGGCTAACTGAGTTCAAGTGTACAATGTGATATCCCTAAAATATACTATTGTGGAAAAACGTTACATTTGGATTCAGAAAACTCTCAGTCCTAGAGGCCAAAGTATAAACTCCTAAACAAGTTCTCCTTCCTGATATCAATATTCTTACCAGGCTTAATTTTTAGTGAAGGATTAGGATATTAGAGGTGTCATGTTTTGAACATCAAGAGGTAGGTTTTCACAAAAGTCATTTACCTCAAGCTTTATTACCTTGACTTTCATTTTATACTACATACAAATACTGAAAATGAATAAAGTAACCCTTTTTTCCACAAATTGGTTATATTTTTCAGGCAAAGAAGCAATTAGGTAGCGTTTGGTTGTTGTTTGTAGAAAGGCACTGATCCTAACTGGAAATCCAATAGTGGCATACATGTAAGTTGAATGTGTGTTTTATGCTGCTTTATTTTAGAAAGCTACACGTGCCAAAAAAACATAACCATTTTTTCAAAATTGGCATTATTTTAACAATCTCCATTGCATTGACAGGATGATTTTTATTCAGTCCCATTTACTTCAATTTAAATCAGCACACAACAAACGTCTAGCCTCAAACCACAGTTATACGTTTGTGGCAAATATGGATCTAAAGGTCTCTAATACAGGGTACAAATGAACTTCAATATTCAGTCTTGTATGTACATTAACATTAAACACCCGTTCATGTTACATTTAAACTCTATGCTTATTTTCTTCGACTAATATCAAACTGTAGTTCAACAATTAAGGCTCATGTCAACGGTATTAATCCTATCCATTACTTTTGTATGCTCATCTTACGTTATCAGTTTTACTATCTGCTGCATATCCAGTGTCAACAAACAGTACTCATGAACATGTTTTGCTACACCAGTCTTTGTACCAGTAGCACGCTAGGCACGTCGGCTATTTTTTCTCAGCTAGTGTACAGTGTTTCCTTTCCCTCCTCTACCCCCCCTCCCCTCCCTATAAATAAACTTGGACTACTGGCCTGGGTGCACACCTTCCACTTAGCTATCGCCTGCATCAGGCTAGGTGGGTCCCTTACCCCACCTTATTCTTACCTACCTAAGCAGCTAGGTTGGGGGGCTTCATTCTCTGGGTGAGTGCACTATCACCCCAATTCATTCACTAGGTGTGTCCGCCAACCGCCCACGTTTCTGATTTATTTGGGGTTTGTGTCCGCTAACCTCAGGCTGTTAATTATTATTATTATATGGCTAGCTCTGCAAGGGGGCAAGATCAGCCAAATCATGTGTTGTGTTTGACTACCTGAGCAGGCTAGATGCTTCCCACAAGAAAATAGTGTTCTTTACATGCTGTAAAATAAATCCTTTAACTATAGACCAAGTTATGAAAGAAAGAGTTGTAAATTTGCTTTTGCAAAGGCGTTAATGCACCATCACTACCAAATATGATCAAAGTTGAATCAGTGAAACTTTTAATCAACCAGGAATGAAGAAGGTTCAAAAACCCAATTCACAAGAACGCATTCCTAGATCTTGTGGGCAAATATATTTAGAGCTTTTCTCACACACCATTGGTAGCCATGTCAAGCTGACTGCCACCCCCTGATCTTCATTGTAAAATCAAAGCTAACACAAGTAACATTACGCTGAAGACTGGAAGTAACGAAAAGAGTTCAAGGCTTGTATAATATACTGGCATTATATAAAAACTTAAAAATCTTTGGGTGAGTGGGCAGGAAAGTCGACAACGGCTAACGCAACAGAAACAACTGCCCTACCCACAGGTTGCATGATCTATACCCAGGTCCCAGCTGTGTGTTAGAAAAACATTTTTCACTTATTTTGTTTCACTCAGCCAGTGAAAAATTACTCTTAGAACCTCCCCACCCTTTGGCTTTAAACCTTTTAGTGGCTACAAATATCAGATAGAATTGTTTCTCATGTAAATTGCTATCTGGCAGTAGTTTGGGTCTTTTGTAGTGCCAGTTAACATGGTAGTGTCCTGATCCAGAATCGCAATAGGCATACATGTGCCTTTAATTTACATCTCTGCTATTTTAAGTTTTATCTAGTGACAAAATTACAAGATGTGTATATATACAAACTCTTCCATATCTACACTTTTAATGTCAATTTTCCTGGTTCTCTATGAGTCCTTCTGTATCATCATCATTCACATATGGAGGTGGAGGCTCATCCCGTTTGACAGGATCTTCCTCTGAATAAACAGGAGGAACTTGAAAGGTAGCTGGTGCATCATCTAGTCCAAATGGATACTCAGTAAAAACATATGCTGGCTGTGGAACTGCAGGTTCCTCCTCAAATTGGCGACCCTGAGGAGCCTGAAATTATTCAAATAAGAAAAACGGTTGTTTAGTAAGGAAGAAATGGATGGAAAAACAAACTAAGGTACTGATACAGGTGAAAGGTACCATAATGGTACTCTAAGATTACAAATCAAACCCTTTACGTATGAGAAATACTCCTAGCAGCTTCATGCTACTGAAACTGGAGATAAGCACCAGTCTGATGGGTCACTTGGCTCGCATGCAGACTTACTGTACCTTTACGGTATGTACCCTGGCTAATAAGATGACATTTTGAAAAATAAAGTAAAATATTTCTACTGAGGCTCTCTCGCTATTACTCACTGACATGACTTATTGCTCCACCTCAAAGAACACAAAAATGTCAGGATTTATCAAGTTCAGATGTAAAAATGCAAACTTTTGGTTTTTCTCTTTCTGTTGTTAAAAACATTACAAAAACTAATATTGGAATCTTCTTCAGCATCACAGCTTCTGTAGTTCTTTTCTCCTTGATTGGAATTTTGTCACAAATTGATCTTTTTGCAAAATAGGGGGGACAGAGGAACAAGATAACAAAACATCTGAGGAAAATAAAAGTTACAAAATTTGCCAGTGTTTATAGTCCAATACATCGCCACAGTTCCAATTTTAAAGCTGATAGATTTGAATAACAAGGAAGGCAACACTGATCCTCTGTAGAGAAAGAGATGGGATGGTGGCTGTACATTTTACCACTGACAATACCTTGTGAACCAAACACAGCCTTTAAACACAGCCTTTAAAGCCATATCCACATTTTTTGCAATATTTGATGCTGTGCAAACGACATTGTGTGTGCTAGGTTTGAAAGTTTGAGAACTTTTCTGTACATTTTTAAGAGCATTGTTTAAGTTTTCATGGGGTAAGAATTATTGGTAACTCTACCAGTTGCCATCAAGGATTAATTCCCCCCTTTATGCTCCCAAGACAAAAACAGTAAACAGTGTTTGGCCAAAAGAATAAGTTTATTAAGCAATAACCATAACAAGCTACAAAGATCATGAGCTAAAAACACGATAAAACTAATTCGAAGCACGCTAACTACTACGATTATAATAATTATATCTCACCAATAACAAAAAGGGAGGGCGGAATCAAGTGGAAAGTCAAGACTAATTAAACAATAGAATCCCTCATGTGGGAGCTAACTGACAACATAGTGTCAAAAGAAAAGGCGAAATAGGGCTTATAAGCATCTGATTTCTAATCACCNGGGGGAGTAACAACTAAACATCCAAGATGATCGACGACCGTACTTACAAATTAACATGCTGTAACTAAAGAACGCAACAATAGAACTGAACCGACTTATATGTGGCAATACGATCCCAAATCTGTGATAAACACCAGATCACCTATACGGGGGCAATTATCTATTTTAAATGAAATGTATAAAATACCCAACTGAAGGTTCACACTCACCGGTTGTGCCTGCTGTCTCAATGCTAGAGACAGTTGCCGTCTTCGATTTCTTGCATAGAAGTAAAATATCCAGAAGATGAGCTTGAGAACTATAACAACTATTATTATCCTGGAAGAAAAGAAAAATGTTGTCTCAAAGTTAGCAATGTGAAGTTGTTGTTAATCTCACCTTAGCAATCTTAAATGTAAATTAAAAAATTCACTTGCGTATATAGTTGATAAAGATCAAATCCTGTTTGCCTCCATGTACAAGTTGGAAACCCCACATACCCATTTTTCAATTATCCCTCTTAGAAAACCTCAGAAAATATGTTTACATACTGTAGAAAAATATAACCTCTGCCCACTATTCCGGATTGTCCAGGAGTCAACCAAATACAGACCAAACCTCCACGCCTCCCATACAGGTGACCAGTGAATCTCCTGCATAGGAAGGAGTGTGTTTAAAGAACTTTTTTTCCACTCTGATTTTGACCAATTTTGGGGACTTTTGCAGGATATTTAATGCATTTACACGACTGAATCTACAGAACTCAATATTTTTATGTACTAAGTGTTTAGGGATTGAGAAGAGATAAACTTGATGATCTGCTGAGTTTAAAATGTTTTCAGGTTGACATCTCTGAAACCTTATACAAAGTTATATGTGAAATTACTACAACCATGAAAGGGTGGTGTTACCTTGCCTGAGTTGATAGGTTAGCAATAGTCTAAAAGAGGTATATAGAAAAACTGACCTTAAGTTTAGTGGTTGGCATGTTTCAATCTAGCGTGAACAGTTTGTGTTTGAGCAAGCACTGGGGTCATTTTGTTTTAATAAATTTTGGGGTAAGACACTTTTACAAAAAAGATTATCTATTAAATTTAATTGTTATATAGATAAACTTAAGCTGCTTAAGCACTGATAATATTATATTTAAGGTATATATACCACACAAGTGAATAGTGCTTTTCATGCAAGTACAGTTCACCTCCAAGCAGAGATTTTGAAATTTCCAACCATTTGTCAGTTTACTGTCGGAAATAACGTAATTTTTTAAACATTGTTCAGTACAGTGTTAATGGAAGTGGTGGGTATAAATATTTACCTCCTCTTCAAAGTTTGATTTGTAAAATGACTTTGTAGCCTAGTTGAGGATTTAATACTTTCTGTGATATTGCACTATAGAGCTCCACGTAGCCAAATGTTATGATAATATTGCAATCTTTTCAAACTTAAATCTGCAATTAGCTTCAGCTTGAGCACGGTAAAAAGGGGACCTCCAATCCACAATAACTTGAACGTAATTATGGCATGGATCGGACACATGTAAATGCACATTCCGAACCACCATATCCAAATATTTCAAGTACTATTGTACTTACACATAAAACAACAAATCCATCGTCGGTTTGGTCCTTGATGAAGTCTCGATTTATTGCAAATTCTATAAAATGAAGGGAAAATGGCACGATCAAGTGGTTTGCCCGCGTGAGTGAAGGGCAAAGTTTAGACTGTGTTCGTCATAATACGGGAAAATATCACTCACGGGAAGTCGCCAACCCATTCATCACCTTGAATCCAAGTAAACAGAACTAAAGGGGCGAGAACTCAAAAGAGGTCCAACAGAGTGTTCTTCAACCTTGGCTTTTATTTAGCATATAAGCTGAAGCTTATATTTATTAGCTAACGAGGTTGAGCTAAACCCAATTGTTTTGGACACGGATTCGTAACAAAGGACGAATAAATATCACAACTGTTGCAACTTAAACAAAACATTAGAGTGATAAGACAACGCGGATAGTAAAGTTTGCCAAGATTTGCTTTTGTAAACACAATTCGGGAAGAAATTGAAAGCAAACACACTATTGCGTACATACATCCAGAGATGCAATCATGCGAAGCCACACGGAGTTATCTTGGCAGATTCGGTTCAAATCAGTTGAAACAAGCGTTTCATTCGCCTCTTAAAATACAACGAACAAATCACCTACCTCTACATATCTCATGGAACTTGAAATTCCTCCATTATGTAGTAAAATAGTTACAAAATACACTTCAAATTCCCGAACACCTGTGTACTTTTTCGACTGAGTTCGACTAGAAGCGATGTGTGACACTCACCCTACCCTGGTGGAAACTGTGAAAAGTTCTCGTCACAGTCCCTCTCGGTGAAGGTGAGGCCCAGCACCACCGCGAACCGCGAACCGAGCGATATGTACAGTCGTTTTCAGACGTTTTGACAAATTATTGTGTTGATCCTCCTCCCCTGGAGGACAAGCTGAGATTTCACGTTGTACCCAAGAAATTTGGTAAACTATGTCAAATACAATTATTTACAAACATGATAATAAAAGAGGAGAAGGGTAGGGTAGCACCACACGGATCCTGGGGTGGTACTACCGGAAAAATTGGGTGGGGGTGTGCGGCCCGCTTCCCAAAACCCTTACCCTATTTGTGACCAAAATCTGCGATTTTCCCTACCCTTTTTATGATCTGACAAAAATAATTGGATTCCCTATTTATGCCCTAAACGTAGTTTATGAAGGGCTTTTGTTGATGGTCTTATCTATATAGATGAAAAAGTAACTTCTTCTAAAAGCATTACCCTATTTATGACCAAAATGACCAAAATCTATGTCCTATTTATGACCAAAATAGCTGAAAAGCCATAACCTTTGGGGCCGCACATACCTATATAGCCCATATAAGGGAGTAACCCCTGGGACACAGACACAGCAAGGGGAAATAAACTGGTTGTCCTCTGGCTAATGAGTTCTATGCTGGTATACCTGTGGAGAACCAGCCAAGCACACAACGTTTTTGAGACTTTGGCTGGTGGGGACTGGGGAGGCGGGAGAGGAACATACCATGTTCCCCCTTTTTTGGGTGGGGGGTGGGGGGNGGGTAGTCATTGGAGGAGGCAAGGTGAAGCAATTCTACCACATGTTATATAGTCTCTTCTGTTACTTCCAGTAAGGGTATTTTTGGATATTGCCTTCTGGAACTCTGCTGGCTTTATCTTTATCATACAAGAACCCCCTTTACCTATCTAGTTTATACCTATGTAAGAGAATCTAAAGAAGTACTACGAGGTATTTATTTTTAATCAAAGATACGGCATTAACATTCATTTGAAAAATCACTCTATCAGGACATTGCACTAACAAATGTAAATATGCCTCACACTTAAAATAAGGACCAAATCAGGTCAACCAAGTAACAAAAAAATATTCACAAGTGTCCGGTAAAATGCACACTTCAGTAAATAAGCTTTGCAAGATGTTGCAACTAAGAGTTTTAACATTGTAGATTGGCACACACTTAACCACTGAATGTCCTAACAGATTCATATGTACAGAATATTTGAAAGCTAGCAGGATAGAAATATAGTTGCCATACTGCACATTAATTCTAATGTTTTGTTTACGCTTCAGTTTCAGAGGTCAACATCAAATTTCTTCTCACAAAACCAACACAATACCAAGTAGAGAGGTGATGAGAATAACACAAATCATCATTTTACATGGTAAAAGACAAATTGTTTGATGTAGAAAATTCTCATAAAAAAACATTAAAGAAAAGTATGGCAACTAATAAGTAGAATGTGCTGCTCTACAAAATATCCATATTCACACACTGCGCATCTTTGAGTTTGAAAATCCCCCCTTCCCTCCCCTCCCCTCTCCTCTGGAAAACCCAGTTTGGCTTCATACAGTAGAACCCCACCTTACAGACAAGCTGTTAATATGGCCACCTTGTCATTGTGGCCACCTTATTATTACAGCCACTTTATTCTGCTCTGAACAAAAGCTCGGTGAGTCTTTTTTCTTATTTAAAGAACCCCTTCAACACTGCCACCCCCTTCACATGGCTAAATTTTTGTGGCCCATTGAAAATCAGATCAAAACAGGGTTCCACTGTACTTTCCCTTGAACAAATTGACATCAGTTTTTCATGCCTCTGTTGTGTTATTGATCATGAATTTTGTTATAACATTGTCAAAGTAGCTGTAAATCCACAAGGCGATAGCCAAGTGGATCCACAGACTAATTGACTATGTTATGACAAAATTCACTGTCAGTGACAGGACAGGCGCATGAAAAACTGGCATCAATTTGTTTTTTACAATAACAAATTGTTTAATTGTCTGCTTTGGCTCGTTGATGCATTGCATAAATCAAAAATTCATGTTGAGAACCCCTTCTCCATCAGAATTTTCAAATACCTGCTGTCAGGTGGGTATTGATACTTTTGGAACCAAACAGAAGAGACAACAAAGTAGGAGCCCCTTGGGTCTTCACCTAATTGATTTTGAGCTGTAAGGACAGGAAGTTTTCACTTTTAACATCAGCAGCAGCAGTTTGACTGGATAACTTTCATTCCAAATGCTTCAGGAAAGAACTTCTGAGACAAGATCTTTGTTGGCTTACAATATGATTAATAAGCAAACCATCTTTTCATAGAGTCAGCATAAAGTACAGGGAAGTAAGTCATTATCTGAATGACTGATTGAAGCGTAATTTCAGAGATAACTTTCTGAAAAAATTTACCATCAAGCTTCTGCTAACTGACACTGTATATTAGGTGAATACTTCCCAGCCACATGCAAACACTACATTTTAACTTCCATGAGGGGATATCCACCTCTGGGTGTCCGTTCACAGAACGCTTCACTGTTCTCTTAAATATTCCTACTTGTAAATGGTGCACCCATTTCTCCAGTGTGTAATATTGTCCAGCCACAAAACAGCCAGCAGGGCAGGGAGCTTGGCACAATAATACATCGGAGACACTAACAAGCCAATCTAGCTAATCCCTCCTCCCACAAAACAAAACATGCCTGTTCTGGAAGCTGATCAAGACACAACAAGAGAACATGCTCTAAAACTTAGAGTCAGTATCTTGTTTAAAATACACTACTTCCAAGCATTACAGAGCTACTGGTGGAGATCTATGAAAGGTGATAATGAGAAGCTCACTGGTGTAAAAGCTTGAGTGAAGTCAACTCTGTACAAAATAGCATGTAGCAATATTGTATGGTTTAGTCTCGAAAACCTCGACAGTTAATGGCAAGATAAATTGTACAATTGAAAGAAAAATGAATGGACATAGTGTAAAGATATGCTCTTCCTTTTTTAAAAGGCTATTACATGTTCCTCTATCATCACTATATTTTGAGTTCTTTAAAAAAGTTTCATCATGCCACCAGAAAATCATGCAAAAGTAAAGAGTAATAAATTTTAAATTTAAGGTACCATACCTTTGAAAGAAAAACGTAAATTATCTGCAAAGATTGTTACATTGTTGTTGTTGTTGTTGTTGTTGCTTTTGAGAATTGAAAAAATAAAGCTATAGTCCTACAGGCAAGAATAACGTTCCTAACCTCCACCTCACTCCTTACTACTCCCTAATCCCTCTCTACTCTTTCTACATTCCTTATCATCACAAACTCTAAGGGCAACAATGTTTAACCAGAGGTTCCATCATCAGCTTCTTGCTTCTTTGCAGCTGGTTCACCATCATCATCATCCTCATCATCATCTTCAGCTGTTGCAGCATCATCCTCGTGTTTTCTTTTCCTTGATTCAACCTGAGTGCTTTCTTCTGCCACCTCTGTGGGTTCTGCTTCCATTTCTTCCTGTGGTTTTTCTTCTGTTGTTTCTTCTTTCTCCTGTTCGGCTCGTGCCTTTTCTTCTTTCTCTTGTTCAGCCTTAGCTTTCTCAGCTTTCTCTTGTTCAGCTTTAGCTCTCTCCTCTCTCTCCTTCTCTCGCTCGGCTCTTTCCTTCGCCCTTCTCTCTGCCTCCTCAAGCTTCTTTCTCTCTGCTTCTGGATCGATCTTGACAAACACAAATGCCAGATACATCCCTAAAGCAAACAAAAAGAACCTCAACTTGAAACATTTCAATCACAAAATCCACAGAGGTTGTCACTCTTGAAAAGTTGAAGACCTAGTGGCTACCACAGGTGTTTCATTAAGGGCCTCACACTGGGAAGATTGATCAGTTGTGAGGACAACTTTGCCCATCTGGTTGGACCGTCTAAAGGAAAGTTTTTCTTTTCTCTAGAGGAAAGTTGTTCAGTTCAAAACATTTTGACCACCTGTGGAAAACCAGTTACCCTCCTGCTGAAAATGTTAGTAACCAACAGTTTTGTCCAGAATCACTCTCAGAATGTTCTGATTAATAAAAATTTAATGTGTGGCTTTAACAACTGTCTGTACAATGGTTTTTTTTTTCTTTAATAGCAAATCAATGAAGTGTTTATGTTATTTTTATTGCATCTGCTGGAAGCTGAGTTTGGACTAAATGGCCACCAACAAACAAGAATGACTATAATTATGATAAAGCAAAAGAGCCTTTAATGAGCTTTGTAAGAGGCAACATTCTGATCATTTATAAAACAGATATGCAGCTACTAGACATAAAGATGGTAGAAGTCCTGTAAATTACTTATCATTATTTGTTACTTAGGCCAAAACATCTGAAAATCCTTCACTTACCAACAGCCTCCCACTCAGCCTTCGACATTGTCCCCTGTTAACAAAATATAAACCATTGTTAACTACAACCATAAAACAGCATAACCACAAACATGCATCAGCAATGTGTACTAGATTTATTGAATCAGTTATTAAAAGCAGGCTTTTAGCCAGATGGGTGTCCAGGCATCCTGTGGATGGCCACTTTCTTAAGAAAATTGTTTTATTTTTCATGATCATGTTGCCTTGTAAATTGCTCATTTGAGCAGGCCTTATGGCACATTTTGGACAGCCACTTTTCAAATTTTGGCTAAAAGCCTGAGTAACCATATAAGCTATGGCTATTCAATTTATTCAATGAATAACAGAACTGCCTGCCAGATTTCCCTAGTAAGTTCTATTTGCTCTTCTACGCCACAATATTCTTTGTAAAACAAAATATCCCAAAGCAATCATTCTGGGAACTTGATTACAGTACAATTTTTTTAACCAGATTTCATTGATACAGTAAGTCATGACAGTTTTTGTTTTGCTGTACATGTACACAGGTGAGTAGTATATAAAATTTTTCAAACCAGTTTGATTTATTGTCTTGTACATGTAGTCATGATTGTAAATTGTAACCTGAACCAAAGGGAAGGCAAAATCAAACTGTTTTGAAAATTTGAAGCCAAACAAAAATAAATTTAAGTCAATATACAATTCAATCAATACTGGCAAATAGCAGACAGTCGGCCAACAGTCTGGCACCAGTTTTTTGGGGAGTTGTTCCTCACTTTTACCCAAATTTTACACAAAACATTGTCAATTGCTGAGAATGTTTTCATATCTAATTATCTTAAACAAATGAACTACTCACCACATGTTTGAGGTTTTTTTCTCTGTGATCTCTATATTTGCTTGTTGATGAAGATTTATCTTGGTTCAACTGAATTCCTTCAAGAAAGTCTTTGGCATGTGTATATGCGTCCTCTGCAGATGACACTAAGCAGTCACCCTCTTGGCGTGGAGGGTAGGTCTTGATAAAGAGGCAAACAGCAGATTAATTTGAACCATAATTCTACAATCATGGACAAAAGTCCTTGGGACACTTATGTAAGGAAACAATCAAATTATCTGTGTTTTACAACTGAAGTTTGAAAAAAGAACTGCTATCCTTTTAAAGACAAGTGCTGTTCCCTTGGCCTCCTCACCCAATTTACAATGTTGAAAATCAGGACAAATTACAGGTACTAGTTTTCAACATGTATGTGGGGTGGGGTAGAGGCTAGGCAGGTGAAGTTGTATTCATGTCTGGCTTGTGTGCAAAAGTACCAAAGGTGCAAATTTGTCCCAAGACTTTTGTCCGTGATTGTAGTACATGTACTAAGGCCTGTTTGAAACTGTCTGAGAGTGTTCTAACTGTCAATGTTCACAGTAACTGTGAGGAAATTTCTACAAATCTTCAAATATCAAAAACAATGAAAAACCCCCCTTTCCAAGCCATTCAAAATTTGGTTATTTTGCTCTCTATGCCCATACAATTTCACAAAAAATGTTGATTTTGTGGAAAAACCTGCCTTGCCTTCTTAATATCTCTTAGAATAAACACAACCTCAAGTGAACTTTCCATATGTAAGAAAGATCGATAGTTTAGCGTTGTAATACCTCCAGTGCTTTCATCTTGTACAGAAGTGTAGTTGACTCCTTAGTCTTCTCCCGGAAAAAGTCATGAAATGTCTTTGTGAATAGTAGCTTCATGTTATATTTTTCTGCCATTCTAAAACAAAATATAACGATATACATTACCTGTAACAATTATACATGTAACAGTATTAAGAAAATAGCCCACAGAAAATTTCCATACTGATTGGTTTAAAATTGCATTTCTATGAATCGATAGAAACACAGAACTAGCACGAGCTGTTGACCAAATGATGGCACTTTCAAAGAGAATGTACATTTTGATGATCAAAGTAAACAACTAACGTTTTCTTTTTTTTCGTCACAGAATTTTCTAAAAGAAATAGAAAACAGGTTCTCTATGTTTCTATTGAGTTTTAGTATAAATCTACTAGCGTTCTATCTCGAAGGCCATTCTCTGATTGGCTACCCTACTCACTATCTATTCTGTGATAGATAGTCAGTAGCTTAGCAGGGCGCCCCTGTTAACAAAATGATGGCCGCTTCTTGGTGTTTCCGAAGTGTCTGTGAAGAAGATTTAGAAAATTTTTTGGACCAATTAGTAGATTTATGCTAAAACAATGAGATTATTCACACTCAATTTCTATGCATGATAGTTGACTTGGGCTGTGCCCTCATCAACTATCATGCAATAGAAATCTCAAGCTCATAATCTAACTGTTTAATGGAAACACTCATGGAAGTTTGGGAGAACTCGAAAAAGCTGTGGAGACACTCGCCTGTCGGCTCATGTTACCACTTTCAGCTCTCCAAAACATCCACTCATGTTTCTATAACTTGATTAAAACACATGTTTTCTATTTCTTAAATAGGGTTTGCCTGTGTACCAAATTTAAAACGAAATAGGTTTAAACTGGCTCAAGTTCAAAAGTTGCAGAGTTTCGGTGCTTGTGTGGCTAGACAAACTAAAAATGATAAGCTTTGTTATCACTGAAAAGATACCTCTTTTTCATGCATTCCTCTCATGTTTGCCACAGTTAATAAATGGTATCATTACAGAAAACTATAAAATAATGTATTGCATAATTTTGTGCATTACGTATCTGGTTTTGTTTGTTTGATGCATCTGTGTGGAACATATTGTCTTCACATGAACAATAATTTATTAACAGCATTTATCTGATCACAGTAATTGTACAGTAAGATCACCTAACTACAACTACAGGAATTCATTTTGTTTCTCCTTTATTTTAACATAATTTTTGAAACTATAGTTATGTAGCATTTATTCAAAGGTAGATAACAATAATTACAATATTATATACGTGTGAGTAATTTGCACAAGAAATGAAAAGGTGTAGTATTCCAGTAGTTGTAGTCAAATGACGCCATCATGCAAGTCACTCATTGTTTAACACATACTTTTCAAGCAGGGGAAAGTAGACCAGGAACTCTGGGCAATCAACCACTCCTTCAAGATGAAAATCATACTTGCAGCCAAACAAAGGGTAGTCATCTTTTTTCTCAAATGTCACTCTATACACATCATTTCCAAAGGACAGATCTTCAGACTTTTCTAATCGACGACTAAAACAGAGATAAAAAATGAGGCTAAATAACACAAATCTTGAACTCTTTGTCTGAAAGGAAATGAACCTGTCACTATATCAAATAGTGGATTATATTGTATATCCAATAAACCAGTTGATATTTTTCTTAAGTGTGTGTTGTGGTTTATGGTCATCATTACTGTTCAATACAAAATGTAAGGCAATGAAAAAAATCTGTCTAAAAAAATATTATTTAGGTCTTTGGACTCACCAAAAAGTGCATAAAAAGAAAAAAGATGTGAAAAAAAAATCAAAAAATAAGATCTTAAGGTGCAAAAGTGGTGTTTGTTGTGCAATAAAACTATGATGCAATCATACAATTTAATTTGCTCTGTTACTGGGGTACTAAAAGCAAGAGATATCACTTGAAGTTATCATTCCTCTTTTCTTTTCTGTTTGTAACCCTAGGTCCACGTGCAAAAATGTGCAACAAACACAGGAACAGTTCACAAAGTATACAGTGTATGTACACAAGTGCACCAACTAAAAAAAAATCACAGAAAACCCTGAGGGTGTTGAGATACTTACACTAATTCATATCCGTTGGGTGTTGTTCCTATGAAAAAGCCTCCTACTTTAAGTCTTTCACAAGCATTCTTCAGCATCATGTCAGCCTGCTCAAAACTCTCGAATGAATAATGAAAAGAAAACTGGCAGCTTGTTAGGTCAAACTGGATTTCTTTATCTTGGTATAGGTCTAGCAGCCGTTCCTGTAAATTTGTAGAATTATAAATCTTAAATTAAATTTATATTAGGATATTGACCAAGATTTGCTTTTCTGGTCACAGCAGCTGAATTTGGCCCAATTCTTTTGTGTGTGTGTGTTCCTGGACCAATAAGTGGTCCAGGTTAAACACACAAAATAGACCAAGGCCAATATCCCACCATCTTGACCAAACAAGCTTGGTCAATTAAAAAACTTAAGATATCTCAGATATAGTACTGCTATCTACAATAGGTAATCTTGAGCAAGCTTCCCCACTCAGTTAGCCAATTACTGTACAGGATTTGGTTTATGCTGTGCATTTGCAGAGGGCACTTACAGCACAGTATGCTGAAAATTCACATGGACAAAATGTGGAAAATTGGGCATCAGCAAATTGATGAAGTGCACAGAATAAGGGCCTTGGTGACTGTTGTGTGATTAACATTAAACTTTCCTTGTGTTTCAAAAGAGAAAGCAATTTAGCAATTTGGAAGGAGAACCTAGCCAATTATTACAAAAAGGCAACCCAACAAAACACTGGGCTACAACCTGCAATGCATTGTACGGAATTAATAACGATTCTTTAATGCTTAGGAAACAATGTGAAGCACCAGCTACATAGCGTCTTGTAAGGGTAACAAATGGTAAAATCCAAGACTTGCCAAGACCGCAAGACCTTTGTTTGACAATTCAAGACTAAGGCTAAATTGATTTTAGATTCCAAGATGAAAGAAACACAGCAAACAGAGACTTTGTGACTCATCCCAGAAGCTTCTGAGATTTTGAAATCAGATCAAAATTTCCCAAGGCCCAAAATTTTCTAGAGACCATTTGCCAGCGTTCCGTGTGGATCATTAACAGACTCTCTAGACATGTGTAAAGAATGCTAGTAAGTAAATTACCTTGCTACAATCAGCAGTAATAAATTCAGGTTGAAAGAGAGGGTCCCGATAACGCCTGGTCTCATGTGTCTTTTTAAGTTCTTTATAGCGCTCCTCACACTGTTCCACAGAAACTTTGGCAATATCTGTAAGAAAAGAACACAAAGAAAACATAATCATGCAGATCTTTGCATGCAAAGGTTTATTAATCAAAATTAGCAACCAGATAGTTACAGGAAAGGCATACATGTATGCATAGACATTAACTCTGTCACTGTCCCTTAAATGCAATCTACTTATAAATAATACAAAAAATAAACTACTGTCTCATGGGTAACATTATATTGTGCAGTTCCAGAAAATATCCATACTCCCCCCACAGAAAGAACTGAAATTTCCTGGGGGTGAGGGGTTCTGTAAAACCAAAATATTTAGAGAAATATATGTTCAAAGCATATTCAATATTACTAGAATTTCTAAAAGGGTGGGTGAGGGGATCCTAGAAAAAAATCCCTTCCATGGGAGAGGTATAGATATTTTCGGAGAACTACACATTTCACTCTTTCAGATGCTCTAACAATTTGTCACAGTGGTTATTAAGAAACAAAAACTTAAAGATATCATAACTATATGTTCTATGAAAACTTACCTGCACACACAAGTTTCTTTATCCTTCCCCTCTGCCATTTGAGAAGGTCTCCACCTTTCCCACAACAGAGATCAAGTACAGCTATGTCCTTTGCACTTGCCCTGGAAGGATTACAACATACCAAACAGTAGTCGAAAAAAAAACAAAACAATTTTTTACCATTATAGCTCAGGTTGGGGCCATAAAAAAAGATATGTAATAAAAAATACAGCGTAATAATTTACATTGGACTCATGAGGGGACTTGTCCACAGGTGAATCTTTCCAAGAAATTCTGGAAACAGGACTAGTCATAAGGTGTAGCTCACAAGAGGAGAGTCAAGGGAACAAGTCCCCTCATGTAAAGTAAACATGATCTCTTTTCTAAAAGCTAGACATGCCTTACCTCTTGATTTTTTCCAGACAGTCACCAATGATTATGCTCTTCACCCAGTTGTTAAAATTTCTTAAATAAAATATGGGACTTTCCTTTCGGCTCTCCTTGCTGCCTTCTGGATGTTCATTGTAGTGTTTTGCCACCTTGTCACCCAAACCTTCCTCATTGTCAGCTGGTTTTTCTTCTGCATGTTTATTGTCGCCATTCACGCTCTGAAAGATCATTCAATTCAATTATGTTCCAAACCATTAGTTATGACACTTTTTTTTCTCACAAATCAAAACAAGTCCACATCATGACAAAGATGCCCAAACCAACAAAGCTTTTCCCAGTTTCTGTAGCTCAAAGTACATCGCTGTTCCTCAACAATCGTATAGTCCATCAACGAACCATGGAATAACCTACTCTTCAACATAGGATTTAGTATTTAACTTTATTTAAATATCTTGAGAAAGGAAATGAAAGTAAAGTTTTGATTATTTCCCTTTCTATGCTTACTAAACTCAAAAATTTTACATTCAGTCACCATCAGGGTAGTCAACATGGGCCATAACCTGTAGCACCTGAACATGCTTAATGGGCCCTTTATGTTATGAGTGACCTTGCCTGTAGTTGATATCATTCACTCATAAAGTAACAAGTTTATGTTACATGATTGTGTGAAGATCAAGGCTATAGGTGAATCAAAACTTAATGAAAACTCGAACCATCTTTGTCCCAATTCACGAAGTATAAGAAACTAAATATTTTTATGTGCCGACACACTGTCATTTTTCCCTTGAGACACTTAAAAATGGTCTTTGGGAGTCTACATCTCAAGGACATGAACAATCTATCTATTTAAGGAAAATCCTTGAGGAATTGTTATGTGATAAATACCTTGTCAGGTTCTGCTGCAGGTTCATCTTTAGTTTCACCTTTGGATTCATCTTCAGGTTCATCTTTTTTCTCTAAAGGAAACACAGGAGTAAAATTTTATTGGGCAACTTTTATTCCTCAACAACAAAATTAATGTAACTTATAAATGGTTCCCTGTAGTGCACATGAAGTAAAATATCACCTACTAACCAGCACCAAACTACTGTATATATGGGCTAAAGACTGAATAGAGTGGGATGCATGAGGAGCAAGCTAACAACATTGTGTATTCCCTTTATAAAATGGTCAAGATATTTCACATGCTCAAACTTGTGATGTAAACTGAATGCAATGACCCGATAAAACAAGATGAATAGCCCCCAAAAAACTGACATGTCCCTTTATATATTTGTCACTTCCTGCTTGAAAACTCTCAGTTTCATAGTTGCACACAAACAAAGATTCAGAAGCAATAGGGCTATCTGAGAAGCCACATTATTATCATCTGAGAAACGACATCATAAGTGTGCAATTTATCAGAATATGTCTGTCTTCCTTGCTGGGAAAAATAGAAGGTGAGTGTACTTATATTTATGTACATTTAGTTTTATTATAATACTCATTATAATGTAATTAGTTTTTATAATGCTAACTTGTTTAGGTGTCCCCAATTAGCAGCTGTGCTAAAATTTAGCAAATTAAACTTCTTGACACATAAATGAAGTTATTATTATTATTTTTTTTTTATTTTAGAGACGTGTTGGCTGAATAATTAACCTAAAGTTATTGGAATGCTGGAGGAAAACTTGGAAATCTTGGAAATCACTTGGCAATCTGCAACGTCTACTGCAGATTGAAATATAGTGTAGTAATACACAGTCCATTTCCTAAATAGCCACAGTCAAAATTGATTTTGAAGGCAAGTGTCAACATGTCAAACTCCAGACTTAACCAGAATGAAAAGATTGTTGTGATAAAATCTGTAATAATTTTAGTTTACAAGAAGAATATCAACAGAATCAAACACAGTAACCAAAGAACAAAATTGTGAATGTTTTGTAGAAGAGGAAGAGATCTTCGATCTGCTGACAAAAAGTTCGGCATCGTTGCATTGTAGGTTCATGCAAACATATAACTTTTGGCGGCAAAAATTATCCGAAATCGTGCTGTAAAAGGGAGATTTTTGAGACTTTCCATAACATCTTCCAGAGTTTGACACTTTCCTTACATAGAAACCAACAAGTCTTGATGAAACTTCGGACGATCGCTAAAAGGAAAAGTATTTGAGTATAAACCACGTGTTACGTGAACACTTTCCCACACACGGCCGGAAAATTGCTGTAGATCACGGCTTGCGACAAAACCTCGTCATTGGGACAACTTACCTCCTTCTTTAGGTTTTTCTTCAGTTAACTTGTCATCTACAGGCTTTTCTTCGGCTAAAATATTTTCGTTAGCTTGATCAACCACTTGTTCGCTTTCCGAAGCAACAGCCGCCATCTTTGACTCCGAGAAGAAAGGTCGAGAGAGGTTGGAACCGTGACGCCAGGTCCCCCGCAAAGTCTCCCACCTGGCGCCTTTGGACAAAGGGCTTTATATAAGAAGTATCAACCGTAGCCTTGTTTTTCTTACCATAAAATGTGTTATCGCTTGAAAATGTTTCTGGAAAACCCTACATTGAAATTTGACCAGCAGGTTTCAAATTATTAAAAAGAATATTGATGCGTATTATAGGAGAAAGGTAACAAGGTTTCTTTGGACTTGTGTGTAGTTGATCTGAGTTGACATTTGTCATTTGCTCATTTGTTTACGTTTGTTTACTGGAGTGAGAAAGCAATAAGACAGCGGTTAGCACCATGGTGACTGTTTTTCCAATATGGCGGGTAAGGTTTGAAATAGAGTCGTTTACCATTTGTTGTTCTCCTTACATTTGTACACGTTTTTTTCTACCTTCTAGCTTTTACGGATCTTGATATAGACGAGGATTTGGCTGTTGGAAGGTAATCATTTCTAACTTGCACTTCTTATTAGCAAATTAATTGAATTCGTGCCGAGTCCTTTTGACTACAATGATGTAGTTTATATTTTATGGAAACTTTTGACGTTTTCAAGGACATAAAAAATATTTTTGGTTCAGAGGGAGACCGATAAATTCCCACTATAAATCGTTAAAAACAAGAAAGTCAGCTATTCTGTTTTCGTCTTGAGCTTATCGAATTTTTTAGCTGTACGCTACGCGTCATATGAAAAAGGAAATAAAGTTTTATTTTGGTGTAATTTACAAAGACACTAAAATTATGTAAAATAAAACATGCTCTGAAAAACTGTATCCTGATTCCTTCTTTCACAATACATCTTTTCAAATGGAGATCGGCATTTGTTTAAATTTTTCTCGAGTGTGTTTTCAGCTCAGCTGGCAGTGAAAGACTTGGTAGTCCGTTCCCTAGAGAGGTTTATCTTCAGGATTTAAAGGCAACTATTTAATAAACTGCTAAGCAGAAAGATGAGTTGTTATATGGACATCTCTAACAGTGTTTTGTTGATTAAATGTCAGGTCCAGTAGAGCTGATAAAAAGTTTGACACAACTGTGGGTCACATCGAGGATATCATAATGGGTATGTCCTGCAAAATTCATATTAAGCAATTATTAAGTTTTAAACCCTTAAAGCTAAAATTAAGGGTGTTTTAACAGGCTGTATTGTTGCTATGGTAACTCATAATGTAAAAAGGATGACCACAACTTGTTTACCAATGATTGGACATTTGCGTGATACCATTATAATTGTGGCATCACTTGTTAAACAGTGATAGTATTCATCCTCCGAAGTATACCTGTCGGGCAGTTGCCGGAAACTGTTGCCAGCCTCCTTAAGATCAGATATTCAAACACGGTCACCATCATGATTTCCTTTACAGTTTAAACTTGATGAATCATTAAATGAGTTTGAGAAAGCAATCCCTTTCACTAGGTTGTTGTCATTATTGTAAGGATCTTGCAAGGCTCATGAGGTACGAGAAGAAGAATAAATTGTAGACCCTGTTAAAATTATGTTCTCTATCCTAGAGGAAAGATTTCAGACAATACAACATGACTTCAAAGAAAAGTATTACCACCACTTTACAGATGAAGAGGAAAATAAGTTAATATACATGGATATATTCAAAGAATATGTAAGTTGTTCAGATTAGTAATTCAGTCCAGGTTTGAGCACTTGTAAGAAAGTGTTTTGTTCCTTGGCAAAAACACTTTAAATACTCTTACTGTGCCTCTCTCCACACAGGAGTATAAAGCATAATGGGAAGTGGAAAATGTAATGGTTAAGATGGCTTAATCAGCCAGAGTGATGTAGTTTAAGTTACCATGTTACAGTGAAGATCCTAAAGAAGTTATATCAGCCACTATATAATATGACTTTGTTATTTCTGACTGTTAGAGTTTGATGATATTTGTTCCTTAGGTTGCCTTGTTGGAAAATTACATTCAGGAGGAGCTTAAGAAAAGAATTTCTGGCTTCTCCATGGAAGACTTTACAAAAAGTTTAGAGTAAGTAGCCAGCCATATAGGAATGAACAACAACAACAAATCTTTATTTCTCATTACAAATACTGTTACAGTTACAGTATATCTAAATTCAGGACAGTCGGTTCAAATTAAGGAATAGTCTGTTCTAATCATTTGTTGTCAATAAGACTGGAGGCCAAATGAACTGTTAGGTTTTTCAGTTAGTCTCCAGCCTTGTTATGTCTAATTGTAGAACAGGAGAGATGAAGGAAGAATTTACAATGTTTGCTAATTTAGCTAGAAAAGACTTAAGATATGTAAATTATAATTTGCTTTTGACAGAATTAAAGAGCTTTTGAACTTTAAGGTTAAAGTTAACTATATCTCAAATCTTACCTTTAAGAATGTTCAGAACATCCTTCTCTGTTTTCAGAAATCGTCATGACCAAATTGGAGGAGACATTCTTGACATGTTACTTAGTTTTACAGACTTCATGGCCTTTAAAGAAATGTTTTTAGAGTATAAATCTGTAAGTATTTTGTGTGGTTCTCTATCTGAGAAAAATCACATAGATTGAATTCTGACAAAGTTAAGGTATCCTGGGTAGGGCAGGAGCAGCTGCAATGTTTGACCAATAACTATAGCATTTAGTATTAATACTGAATTTGTGCACTACCACATAACATGGTTCTCCTTTTCTGATCACCCTAACCAGAAGTGAGGGTGCTTTTCTTTCCTTTCCTTTTCTTTTCTTTCCTGGTCTGCTCTTTTCTGCTCTTCTCTTTTCTTTTTTCACTTTACTTCTCTTTTTTCACTTCTCTCTCTTTTTTTGTGGTCTTTTTTTTCCTCTTCCCTTTTTTTGTTTCATAGTTTATATTGTGCGGTTTTGTGGTTTGATTTTAGCAGTAACCATAACACTTCTGAAGTATCCAGACTTTTAATTCCTTTCGTACATTCATTTAAAACCAGCAAAATTCAGAACTAATGTAAGATTGGTATACTGGCTGACGAGTGCTTGTTGCAATTGGGAAACTTATTAGAATTGGGGCAATGATTGGCTATTTGATTGCTTCAAAGTTCAGAAAACCAGCAGAAAGGTGTTGAAAAGCATTTAGAGGCACAGGAACAATAATGTAACGTTGATTTTCTTTTTAGGCAAAAGAAGGTACAGGTATGGACTTCAGTGACATGTTAACCATCACATCAACCACATCAGACAGAGAGGAGCATCAAGGAATGCAGATTGACCCTGATTCACCAAGAGAAGGGCCATCTTCCAGCAGATAGTCTTCACAGAAACACCTTTCATATTTAGGTTACTACAGTTGCTTCAGACCTTGTATGAACTTTGTATGCCTGGAATTCTGCCAGGCTGCTCTTTGTAAATATGACACGTCTTAAAAGCACCACAAGTTTTTCATGCACTGTAAACAAATCTCCATAAAAAGGCAATACAGAGTCAAGCAAGTATGTCATGAGAACTAAGAAACAATTCACCAGGTGGAAATCGTCTCAGTCCATGTTTCTAAATTCCCCTTCTTACTTTTATTAATAATTAGGAATTGGACTGAAAGTAGCACAATTCGCAAAGTAATCAAGCAAGCCATTTCAAAATTTGACTAGCTTGCAGTGTGAGGTTGATTTGAAATTACAATCACAATCACTCTCTGAGGTCCAATTTTTAATAAGCTGTATCAATTGCAAATTTTGTGATTGAGGAGTCTTTAAGAACTTCTTTTGGCTGAAGAAGTCGGTTTCCATAAGTTTTGAATGACAGTAGGGAAATATTGAGAAAGCCAATAAAGTACGCAAAATTGAGGCACGAGTGGTAGGTGTCCTGTTAGAGGCATTCAATTTCAAAACATAACTGGATGCCTGTTATTGAACACCCACTCAATCACGCACCAGTTATGTGACAAATAAGCAAACAGATAACCAATCAGAATCAATGATTTGTAGATTTGATAGGCCATTTCCGAGTTACCTTGTGCCTCTGTGTCAAAATGAGTCTTCATGCTAAACTTTTCTTCTGAAAATGAGTTTGATTTGCATGAAAATAAACCTGTAGGTGGAACTCATTTTCATATGAACAGTTTTGCACGAAGACTCATTTTCACACAGAGACAAAGGCAACTCAGAAATGGCCCATTAAGTATAAGAACTGTATGAAAAGAAGTCCGGGAATTAGCATTCTTGAGTTAGTCTGCATGGTACTCAGACAAAGTAAAGATGTAGATACTTGTTTTCCACCTGACTTGGTGTCTACTCATTTTTATGAAATAAAAGAGATATTATGTGCTCTGTAGTTAGTAGTAATTTAACCATCAGTAATAGCTTATATGTCAGCAGAGAAAATTATATTTCAAGTGTTTATATCATAAAAGAATAATATTAGAAAGTAACTTCCTTTGTTTCCGAGGAGTTTTATAAATTAAGCCTGAGGAGATTTCTCGTTGTTCAAAGCATCCAGAAGCACATACATGTGGTAGCACACAGCTACAATTTCAGTTGCAATAGAAAGGAAACATTCTGGATGTGAGGGTTTGTTTTCTTCCTGCTACAATGTAAAAATGTTAAATTTATTACAGCAGAGCTAAAAACAGCAACATTATTTAATGTCTAATGATAGAGTGTTCAGTACGGCTTATGTTCTAAAAATTGTTTTATTTTTTACACAATGAGTTGATTAAATTTTTTTTTACAACAGTTTCTTTTCTTCTTAACCAGATTAAACTGTAAAAAAAAATAGGTTAAACTTGTGAGCAGTTTCAAACCAGAACATGTTCCACTGAGAAGAAAAACGTTTGACTCAAACTGCCTGAAGGCCATCTAAGCTCCAACAAACCCTGGGGGGGGGGGGGGAGGCCCATATTAAAAGGACGGGGTTGCTTGTCATTCTTTTTAGGGATTAAAAGAGCGCTTTTGGTATCTCTTATGCAGGGTTCGTACAGGTCCTGAAAAACCTGGAAAGTCCTGGAATTTTATTGTGGCATTTTCCAGGACTGGAAAGTCCTGGAAAAGGGCTACTGGTCTTGGAAAGTTCTGGAAATCTGTTAAACTCAAGTAAAAAACCATGANAAAAATCAATCTGAGTCCTGGAAAAGTCCTGGAAATGTCCTGGAAATTTGTTTCTGAAAAAGGGTACGAACCCTGCTTATGGTGTACCGCCTTAAAAAAAAGTCCACAGTGGGAACATTTGCAGTACCCTTTAGGGTATTGAGCCGAGAAAATATGACAGGAGATAATGTGTTGTTTTAGAATTGGTACCTCTTAGGGATGACAAACATTTCAAGCCACGCCCACAAGAAAGGATCTTGATACCTCTTAGGGGTTCTTTTCAAAATTTCGGACGAGCACCCCTGTCTTTTTATTTGGCAGTCCCCCTCCCGGGCAACAAAGTTGCTCAATGCGCAGTATACGCGTGGTTTATCATAAGAACGTACTCACGAAAAAGAAAAAAATCATTGTTTGGAAAAGTGAAGACGGATGCCGTAACGTCATGAATGGAAGAACGCTGTGATGTAGATCGCTATAGCCTGCGTGGGAGGCACACTCGTCTCGCTTTGAAAAAGGAAACTAAACGTCTGCTACGCAGATTAAGATCGTAACGTTTCGTTTCCTCACAGCTAGTCTTCATCTGGGCGATCACAACGGTTGGTGAAAGGATGAGTGACACGCAATGTAGAACACCCGTGTGTTTTCCCGCGGTTTCTCGTCGTGATGAACAACACTTGAACAAATGAACACGATAAGGACGGTAAGGATCATGGTCAATGAAATGTCAGTTTTTTCTTTATTGTTCTTCAATCTTCCTACGGAATTTTTTTCGCACATGCTCGAGCAAGGGTTCAACTTGGCGTTGAAGATAATCATTTATACCATGCCATTGAAAAAACAGCCAATCAAAGAGCAGCAAAGCCGTTGTATATTCGACGGTATTACATCCAACCTTCCCATCATGCGCCACGCGTATGTCGCATTAATTGTGTTGGCCACTGTATTTTCTATGGCATGGTATAAAATAGTTAGGCAACACTCTCTCGTGGTATACCTTGAAATATCCCGTTTGTCACTTTTATTTTCTTGGTACACATATCCGCCTAAAGGCTCGGGTGTATCTCGACAAAATACAAGTGACTCGTGGAATATTGCAAGGTATACACTGGACAACGTTACGTAACTGGTATATATGGCGAATTGTATTTTTTTTTTTTTTTTGGATAAAGTTTGGAATTTAGTCAACATGTCTCGACATTTCGTTCAGCGTGGTGATCGTGTCAGCCGAAGAAATTTTAGTAAGTAAGTAATGTCTTTTTAATCGTTGTTTTAGATACTAGCATACAGCACTCAAAGTTCACGTTGAAGATAGTTTACCGAAAAAACGTAGATTAATTTGCAGGCGCTCACGCCTGTTACGAGAGGTGGTAGGTGGTGCCTACTTGACACCAATTTCAGTCAAAAATAAGCTTACTTTGCTGCCATCATGTTGCTTTCTCACTCATTCCCACTGTCTACACTATTTAGAAGAAACGGTTATCATTTTATTGAACAAGAAACAAAATACAAGAATACTTTCGTTATCATGTTGTTTTCCACTACATGTAGACACGTATCGCGGTCTGCGAGCCAACAACTACGCATCGCGATGGTACATATTGCACTACAAAAGTCCAAAAGCTATTTCTAAATCTCAATCTCAATGTAAATCTATTATTATTACGTCGGCAACATCCCGAGAGGACATCATGCCAGCTCTGAAACATTATATATAATAAAAACTAAAACTAAAAATTAAATTAATAAAAATTGCGATTAAAATTAACCTAACAAAGTTTACTTTTAAAAATAGAGAGAGATTGACTGGTAACAGTTTCTTTCGGGAGTTTGTTCCATTCAGCTATTGTCCTTGGAAAGGAAGAAAATCTAAATATATCCTTGTGTCCTTTCGGTACAATAAACTTAAAGTCATGGCTTCCCCGTCGTCTGATTCAAAAAAAGTGACAGCACAAAAACTCTAATTCAATACATCTCCTCTAATGCTCTATAAGTAGTTTTAAACTGTGCTAGGATCATGAAAAATCAAAGTACTATCATCGCCTGATTCAGAATCAGTGGAATCTGACTGATCAAAATACATTGTGAAAAAGCCATCGTCTTCAACATTTTCCGGCGATGACTCGTCTTCTTTTCGCAACAGTCGTACCACCCTCCGAAGAGAGGTTTTAATAGATGCTGCCACAAACTTGCTGAAATGTTTGTCTGCCTGGCGAATCACACTGTGACCCGGAAGGAAGTATGATTCTACCTGGGAAGGTCGTTTCTGGCTCAAAAGGTTGGCCGTGGAATCCAACACGGAACAGATCCGGTCTGTCAGCTTATTTTCGAGCCACAAATCTGTATCATGGCAACGCTCAAGTTCCTCGAAGAATTTCATCTTCAGGACGTAAGTATGGAGGTAGCCAAGGTGTGAAAAAAGCTGTGAGCGTTTTGGTAACGCGGTTTGCCCTTTGATTATTTTAAGAGCAGTGTAACAAGCTCCCTGAACTGGACTTACATTCTGTAATATTTTCAGTTCAGCGATGGAAAACGACAATCTCCACAACAGCGAGTCTCCTCCTTCAGACTTAGGAACAACGTGGTATCCAAACCCTGCACAGTCTTTCAGGACGTGGGACGGGGGGACTTTGGCGGACTTGGGCCAACTGCCAAAATGGATTGCAGGTGTAATATCGATGTCAATTGGCAAGAATTTGTAAATAGTGCCTCTCCAATACAAAGTCATCTTTATTCCTGCCTTGCTTGTGCTAATCACAGGGTGGCAAAACACACATGAATCATAGCTTGTTGTGTTAAAACTTAGGTTCCAGGCTTTATGGATTGAGGCAGGCGCACAACATTTCGCGTACAACGCTTTTGCCAAAAAACATTTGAGTTTCGTGGCGTCGAGAAACCCTTCTTCGGACAGAAACAGCTTCCATTCTTCTCTACAGGCTTCCTTCACTCGAACACGGACAAACCCCGGTTCTTCAGTTTCAAGAATTTCACATCTGCCATCTGACAGAGACTTCAGTTCACACATGTAGTCGAATTCGTCTGGCTTTCCAATCCTGTAGCCTTCAAAAGCGCTTCCAGTTCGTAAAACTTCACAGTAAAACCTTTTGTCGTCTTCCACAATAAGTTTCAAAATTTCGTCGACAAAGTCCAATGTCTGTTTTGCCACAGTGCATCTCTCGTGGCATTTCCCGTCTCCTTCCATGTGAAAACTTCTCACGCGATACTCGCGACACAGTTTCAACAAACACTCATTGACATCCGTGTCGTCCTCTACCAATAATTCTGGAACTCCAGCGTTGTCACCACCCTCATCAGAATCACTTCCATGACCTGATTTGATCTTCCCGTCACGTCCTTCGTCGAGGATCCTTGCACCGGTGTCACTAGTTCTGGTGTCGGCTTCCCCGTGGATGTCACCATTGTCCTTCACATCCGTAATCCGTTGGACTTCTACATTCCTTGGTCCACCGGGCGTCCAATCCGTCTTATTGGCTTGGCCAGCAAGTTGGCGAGAAAGTTTTTCCAACTTAAACTTTATGGCCAGGTCAAATGCTGTTTCTCCATAAACGTTCGTCGGAACCTTATCTGCGCCAGGCTCTCTCTGCAATGTTTGAACGATTTTCACCAGCTCATCTTCTTTGCCATTCGTCATTATTGCGACATGCAACACGGTGTCTCCGTCACGGTTTGCGAACTCTGTGTGTGGAACGCAATGCAACAAGCATTGCAGCACCTCAAAATTACCATGGTAAGCTGCAATATGAGCCGGCGTGTTTCTGTCATTGTCCAGACTTGCAACGACCACGCCAAGTTCTAACAGGATTTGCATTGTCTCGACGTCACCAAAGGCAGCAGCTTGATGGGTTACGGTTCTTCCTTTAAAGTCCGCCGCGTTCAAATCAGCACCGTAATCATGCAGTAGGCGAATTGTGTCGGGAACAATCTTGGAGTACCTCTTCACAACAACTTTGGCTAAATTTACGTGGTCAAAGAAAAGATGCAGTGCCGTTTTCCCCAAGTGATCTGCAATGTTAGGATTGATTCCTGCGTTTAGTAAGATTTTCAAAGTTTCTTGTCGGTTTTGAACGATGATTTCGTCGTTCAGATTCAAATCCTCTGGTAGGGTTACAGCTTCGTGCAGAGCAGTTCTTCCAAATGAACTTTGGAAATCTGCGTCTCCATGAAAGTACTCTTCAATCAGCTTAGACACTAATTGCGGCTGATGACAAGTGGAAGCAAAAGAAAGGCCATTCCACGTAAACAACGATGGAGTGACTGTCTCCAGCTTATAAGGGTTGGAAGAAAACATAAGGAATGACCTTCCAGTAACTTTTAGATTTTTCACATCTGATGAAGATACAGAAAAGCTTTTTCTGGGATCTGCTCCATTGTCAAGAAGTTTTAAAGCAACATCAGTTTTACCGTGACAAATTGCACCGTAAATTGGCGTCCAGCCTCTTTTGTCGGAGACGTTTACATCGCATCCATGCGTTAGGAGACAGTCAACAACTTGAAGACGTCCCGATTTACACGCCTCGTGCAGAGCTGTCCGCCCAGATGATCTCCTATCTTCACAATTGGAAAAGAAGTTTGGATCAGCACCTTTTCGAAGCAAAGAGGTTACCATACTTGCACGACCCAATTTTGCACCCAGAGTGAGGGGGGTGTTCCAGTCATCGCCACCATATACTATGGACTTTGATAGAAAACTCCAACTGAGGCCAACCTTGAGTTCTTCCAAAGCTTCGAGAGCCATGGTAAACCCCACAGGGTTATTAAGCGCTATGGAATGAATCAGCATTGTCCTAACTGTCCTTACTAATTCCTCAGTATCGATAGCCTCACTGGGACAGTTTCCCTGAGCAGACTCCATTCCGCTGTGGGACCTCTCGCTGTTGCCTGGAAAAAAATATATTTGTAATCAAAGCCTTCGGCGAGGGTGTATTACAACGCTATTTCGACTTTTCTTTCTGCTCGTCAGCAACTATTGTAATTTTCAATTCCCTTAGAAAATTCAAGACAACGATTTCAAATAATAATTCTGAATTTGTCAGTCTGTAAACCGAAAGGGTAGAAAGCTCGCAAAACAAGTGTCGAGTAAACTTTGAGCCGATCACGAAAAGGGAAACAATGATTGTGTCACTCGCGCCATTGTAATTATTGAATCAGAGAAGCAAACCTGATGTGTAAACGTACCAATCGAGCACTATGGAAACTTCATTTTCAACGCCATACAGCAGAGAATTTCTTCTTAATTTTAAAATCTCCTTCAGCTTTCAAGTCACGGTCAAGTCTTCGCTTCCGCTTGCCCTTCCGCTTTGGATCCAGGAGTCGTCGTTGACCAGCAGCTGCAGAGATCTTAATTTATGCGTCGTGTTGTGCTACAGTAAGTGTCCCTATGAGAGTGGAAGCGGGAATATAGTTGGGCGTAGCACAGCGTATCAACACAATATTTATTTATTCATTTATTTATTTATTTATTTATTTATTTATTACGATTTACTCCATACAATACGAATACATTATGAATAATCAAAAACAAAAAACCAGAAAAAACAAACAAACAAACAGACAAAAACAAAAAGCAGTGGAGAAGGAGACAACCAAAAGCGCAATGGCACCATACTAGGGATGTCCCCACTTATTAATAATTTTGCAATACGTTTCTGGTTTATAAGCATGGCCATCACTTTCTCCTCTAGTCGGTTCTGTTACACCTCCTCTGTAACTCACCAGGTCGTACATATTTACCATTCATTCTTCTCTTAATGGCATCATGCCATTATAAAAGGCGGAGCCAGCTTTTCGCCCCGGGAGAGGAGGCACTCTGGGTGGAATACAGGATTTTGGAGGTGGGGTTCGAGAAAAGGACCGCCGAATGCAGTCTTCCTGTCCTCGGAAATGGGATTTCCGGCATTCTGAGACCAAGTGAGCGTGTTATATGATCTCTCATTTTTTTTTTTTAATTTAGGGGGTTCGAAGGAGCCCCCCTAGATCCGCCCTAGGGCACCCCCCTATATTAAATAATTGTCAAAAGATTATGTTGTATCACTTTGTTGAGAGGTGGTGCTTCTTCCTCTCCGTTTGTCATTCTATTGAACAAATTAATCAATACCTCTTTCTAGATATGTTTTATTACAAATAGGCACGTATCGACAACAAATTTGGCATCATCGGACATTGCAATATTCATTTTTATTAACAAAAACAAGCACAATTTATCAGAATCTGATTCATAAATAGACCTAAATACATCTCTTCTGTTTGTACTTATTCAATTGTTTTTACAAAAATATTCTCCCCGTTGATTATTGATCCCACTTATTTCCCATATTTCTGATTTTATACAATAAACCTTTGGAATCTATCACATTCAGTCTTCCTGAAACCGTTGTAAGCTACCTCTTCTTGAATTGAGATGTGGCACAACTTTATCGTTATTTATTCTATGGCTGTGTCTCACAAGGACTGGGAACTTATTGACCGCGGTATAGATTTTTCCATCTAGACCGGTTACATTTTGCGGTGAAAAAGCTGCACACTAAAATACAAAACACTGAGTATTTTCTTCTAAAAATATTAGTTCCAGAAAATATTCACATTATGGAAGTGCCAAAAAGCCTGATGACAGAAAAAGGTAAAGAGGACGAGCAAACGTTGGGATGATGTAGCAGCTCTCGTAAGGTCTGACATGAATGGCTTGCTACCCTTTGAGAGAACAATAGAACAAACAACAGAAACAATGCCCCTAGCCCTAAAACAATAACAGCTGCTAACAATGAAGAGAATTACAAGCTTACGAGAGCTGCTACACTTCTGAAACTATGGTAGATTTAAGTTCAGCTCATTTTTCTTGTTTGCCATATACTTAAAACATCTTATTAACCGAGCTTAGTCGGTCTGTATAGGAGAATCTTGACCTCGGTCGTGTGTACAGACCTAACTACGTTCGGTCTGTACTCACGACCTCGGTCAAGATTCTCCCATACAGACCTGCTGCTTGGTAAATAACAGCTAAACACTACCTATTCCAAACTCAGCACGATTCGCTGGTGACGTGACGTTACTTTTACTCAAGGATACGTCGAGTGATAAAATTTAGAGATCACATCAAACGACAACGTGTGTACTGCAGAACGTTCGTCGGCTTGGCTTTAACCAGCCTCCGTAACAGTTGCGCATGGAAACCACGCCATATCGATGAGTGCGTCTTCACTTGAATAGGGACCTTACGCATATACGACGGCGACGGCGAGGACGACGCCACGTAAAATATGTGTTTCTATTTTACTTTGGAATTTCGCATTTATTTGGAACTATCCAGTGTATCTGTCGGTATTGAAACTTGCGCCTGCTGAATATGCTACGAATGCGTTCAATTCCAAATAGAAATACGAAAAATTAGCCGTTGTGGTTCGCGTTCTCCAGACAACGCAGAGTTTGGTCATTTCACGTTGTTGTCTTGAAGAGAACGGCAAAGAAATGTACCAAGAATTATAATGCACTTGCACAGCACAGCCATTGTTTTGCTCATTAAACCCTTTGTCTGGTGACGTTCTCGTTGCCGTTGCCGTTGTGTTTTGCGTAACGTCCCTAATTCTCATGTGGCGGTCAAACGAGGAAAACTCAGGTCGCTTATCATGTGAGTTTTCCCCAAAGTCAAATAAATTACCTGAGTTTTCTGCCCTTAACTAGTCACCAAACCAAATCCAGGGGCTTCCGTCATTTTTCTTTAGTTCCTGGTTGCTGTCTATAACTACATCTAGGGTTTACAATATCTTATAGATGCTGCAAATAGCATCAATTTTGATCTGTCCATTCAAATGGTGCATTGATCCAGTTGTTCGCAATCCACTTGTAACCTTCCAATACATCACACCCTCCGTGTAAAGAACGCTCGTCTTGTGGTCCCAGCAAACCAGTCACGTTACTGATCATGTGATTGTACCACATGACAGCAGTGCCTCTCCTGGGGCGAACCAATACATTGGCGTCGTAACAGTGAGAACTTAAATTTGACCGGTCTTTCTCATGATAATCCTACATTAAAAAATACACGAAACAAAATGTTAAATTTTCCAGGAGAAAGCGGCAAGTGTTCCACTTCACTCCATCCAGTCGTTGGAAGGAGGACAACAGAACAAAGTACTCCATGGAAAAATAAATTCCTTCGTGAAAAAGACCGCAAGGAAACATTACCGTCCGATTGAAATATTTTTCATCCGCAACAGGAAAAGCTGTCTCTCCACCACGGGCGACGTCATTGAGGTAATACAACACTGTCATGTACCTACATCACAAAAAATAGGTACATGAATGTACATGTGGATACTGCCACTCTATTGGTAACAAGATGTGTTTAACATCGCCACATGATATGTAGATTTCAAATGGTTATTGTGTACGTTTGAACATTACTTCTTGATACAAGTAATACACGTTTTCTCACGAGTGATAAAATCTTCACATTTTGGTATTACCGGTAATAGTTTACATGACTGAATAGTATATGGCTCACTGAGATGTTTCTATTCCTTGTTGTGAGATATAAATTTAATCATATGAAACACAAGATTTTCGTCTTGCTTTCAAATTCATTTCAGTGGGAAATGAACTACATTTCATAGAAAAAAATCCAGCGGGTCAGTCAATTAGACTGTTTCAACTTACCTGCACAAGCTGCAATTTCCAGTATCACCCTGACAGCATCTAGAAGTAGAGAAATCCCTTTCATCTGTTGAGTCGTAATGTGCATGATAATGACCATGAACTCCATACTTGACAACCTGGAAAAAATGAAAGAAAGTTATAATTTCAGTTGGTCTGTGAAAAGGTTGTGTAACAACCAAATAATGGCTGCGAAGACAAGTTAGAACAGGAGTTGAGGACAAGAATATAATGCAAAGTAAAAACAGGCACTGATGGTGAAGGAAGGAACAAAGACAAACACGGTTGGTGGGAAAGCCAGTTAGCCAGCTGCACCATCATTTCTCCCCTTTGTGCCTATTCATGTGACCTCCATACATTAAAAAAAAAACTAGGAGCTGGTTTTGGAACCCGAAGATGTTGATCCCCACTACACTTTATATTAAAGGACCAAATGACAGTGAATCATCACTTGCACTTTACACAAAGACACAAGTGTTTTCATCATTTTCAGGGGTCAATCTGCCCATTATTTAGCTACATGTATTTAGTTTAGGTTTTAGTCAAGCACATAATTTCAGTGTAGCCATAAGTTTTACCTGCAAATCTTCACTGCGCTCAATGAAAACTCTTGGTAGCTTAGTCAACAATATGACCCTATAAATGGAAATGTTCCAATATTGTCAAGACATAATGTTTAACAATGTGAATTTCCTAACACTGTTGGCTATAGTGATAAGTTAATAAAGATGGTGAATTTTAAGTTCGGTAATGAAATGTGAAGGTGAATTAATCAACATGACACGAGCGTGGGACAAAGAAAAATT